TGGCAAGGATTTGGGTCAGCGCTTTGTTGCCTAAATACAGTGCGTAACTTTGAAAAAGTCAGTCGACTGTGAGGGAAAATTAATGAAAATATAACATGATAAAATACAATATTTGCAGTTTTAGCATAGTATTTCCAACACCTATGAGGGGAAGAGTCGGTGTCCACCGACATGAGCATGGTCTGGTGCACAGCTGGGGAGTACTTCATCATTGACGTTATGAAAGTCCTGCCAGCACGAAATGGCAAATATGACTTTTAGTCAGTTTTATCGTTGCTCTGTCTCTTTGTGTTTGTGCCTGGGGGGATCATTCCTTTCCAGTCTCCATGTTGATAGTCAAGTGGACATGGTTATGGAGGTGAGAGTCTGGGGAAGGCGGGGTGACTCGCGCAAATAAGAGGCCACTTCTACTGTATCTTCCCCACTTCATGGTCTCACACTGGTACCGTTAAATCAGCTACACTGTGAGTATTTGTACCCAGGCAATTGGCAGATACCATAAATCATTTTTCTTTCTTTTTAGAGAGCTAGTTTTCAAATATTTACAAGAATACTATGAGGAAAGCTTCTTAAGAGTGAAATTCATTTTGAGGGAAAGAGTAAGATTTTACCATATCACCCAAAAAATCAATAAAGGAATGTATTGCAAACCAGAGACACTGCACTGATGATTTATTCTACAAAAGGCCCTCAGGATCGTGGAGTGTGTACATAAGACGAGAATCACCATCAAACTACTTAGTAATGACTTACTGAGTCACTGGTGATTGAGAGTGTAATTTTCCAAAAATTATTTGTAGGGCTGGCCATTTGAAATCTACAGCTATCTTGCAAGGATTTTTTCTACTATTCCCTGATCAGCCACACAAAAGTCAGCAATTTTAAATCTAAGTCTGTTTCAGGAGAAGAAGAATTGTTACTGATAATGCAGCACTATCAAAATGGATTTGCTGGATGACACTGCTGGCGGTCCGGGTCCCCGCTCAGGACTGAAGCACTCATTCTTACGCTACTGATGTGGACAGCCACCCACTGTCCACTGAGAAGACTGTCCTCAGCAGCGGCAAGCATCTTGCTCAAGCTCGCCCTCCCTTCCTGAGGTAGGCTGACCCCAGTGAGAAATCAATGAGAAACGCGTACTCTCAGCTTCTTGACCCAACTCAGGACACCTCTGAAGGGCTCCTTTGGTCCTAGAGATCTCCGCAGGACCAGCAGGGGTCTATTCCTTAACAGGATCACAGCTGGCTTCTCCTCTATCCCACCTGTAGCTCTCCAGCCTAAGGACAGTAGGTGTTATTCCTAGAACATTTGCAAAGCTCGCTACATTCCAGCCCACGCAGAGACTCTTTCCTGCTAATCCAACTACAAGGATAAAGAAGGCAGAGCACAGAAACAGCCAGATTCCCCATGTGCACAGCCCAGGCATGCGGGCCCTGTTCAGGAGTTTATCTCCATCTCCCAGCTGCCTCTGCAGTGAGGTGCAGTTCTGAGACCGGAAGGGGTGTACTATTCCAGTAATAGACACTGATTGCTGGCTAATATATTGTAAGTCTTTAACAGCAGGCCTAAGTATCCTGACCTTACTAACAGCTCCATGGGTTCAAATCCTGCCTACTCCTAAAAGCCTAGCACAAAGCTGCTTCTTTCAAGAGACATTTCTTCAGCTCTTTTCTGCAGAAGTAGACGTCCTCTTGCTTAAACTTTTTAGCAGTTTCCTTCTGCCTCTTTAGTGGGGTTGTCTTAAAATACAGCATTGCAAATGCCTTGGGGATTTAATTCACCTAATACTTTCAGTAGATCTTTCCTTCTTTGTTTTATGTATCTTGATTGGAAATTTGCTCAAAAAGCTCAGGAAAGAAGGCAGGTGACACGAGCTTCTGACAAACACAGAAACGAGGGTGTGTGTGGAGGGATGATGTGGTTTGAACTGATTCTCACTTTGCTGGTGATAGATCAGCATATTAAGGCAGATATAGTGCTTCCCTGGGACAAACCCAAGTGTGTCCAGCTGGGGAAACACACGTCATGGAGTCAATTGTTCCAAAAATCTAAGAAATGCCACAGAAGACAGAAACACAGAGGAGACGGAACTAGCTCAGCTCACCAAGATCAGGCCGGCTCTCAGAGTTCCCTTTGTGGGTAAAGGAGTGAGCCCAAAAGTTCCTAAAAGAACCAAGTGAGCAATGTTTGAAAGTAAGAGAGAACAAGGTATTTTTTAATCTTCCTCAGTCTCACACTCCCGTCAGGAGTTATTAACGTCTTCAACGCAGTGAATTTTACAGCTATCCTACAAAGCTTGGGCAAAAAATATTAGCACTTTAATTTTCATAAATTAAACGGTTCTGCAGAACTTTTAGGTACTCACCCACGCAGCTACTGAACAATTTTATACTTTAGAAAAAAATAATGTGCTAGATCTTGTGGGAAGGTTCAAATTTGTTGTCATTTTAGAGAAGGTTAGCTTCTTACGCTCCGGGACCGCAATAGGTGACTGTGGGAAAGGCTGCATTTGTTCTCCCAGTAACTTCAAATAGACAGACAAAGCAGAATTGCCAATCCACAGGACAGGAATTTTGCTTTTAAAGAGAAAGAAAATAATAGTAACGAGGATAAAGAGAGGCGTCACAAAGGAAGAGGAGCAAAGCCTTCTTAAGGCCTCTATCGATTTGCACCATTTTATTATATCAGTGTGGTGCTCGGAAGGCAGTCGGGCTGACAGGCTAATGAACTCTAGTTAGAAATTTCCAGATGAAGCCGAGATGGCATTAGTACCTTCCTTGTCCTAACTGTCTTGATCATTACACAGGAGCCTGCATTATCTGCACTAATGATGACCATCAATCAATGCCAAGACAGCAAGTGTGGTGCGAACCATCACAATGGCAAGAGAGGGTTTTGTTAAATCCAGAACCCATGTTGGATGAGAATGACACACCCGGTTCCAGTCCCCACTCTCCATTTAGTAATTTTGTCACTCTGGATAAGTCTTCAGCCTCTTTCTGAGCTTCGTAGTTGCTATGATAAGATAGGAATAATAATGCCCACTGTGACGGACCAAAATCAAGATGGAATATTCCAAGTGGCATGAATTCCTTCTACTTGGTAGGCTGATTTCAAATGAAGTAGAATTTACAGGTTATTTCCAACCAGGGATTCAGATGTTAGAGTACCTAATGTCCATAGAAAAATTTCAGGATTATTTGAACTCATTAAGTTTATTTTAAAAATTACAGTACATTTATAAATGCATAGATATCTTGGATGTATTTCTTCTCAAGAGGTTTAAGAACCACTGCTTCAAACTCTTCAGGGTAAAGATCTGTTTTATTTCTGAGTTATAATTTTTAAAAACAATTCACAAAATATAAAAGTAAGTGTTTATCGAACACCTACTCTATGCTTGTAATAGGTGCTGGGGCCACAAACAAAAAATTCTTTCCACAAGAAGCTAAGTGTATTTATTCTCTAAGATAACCATATGTGGCCAGGAAATGATATACAAACCACATACTTAGAGAATCATATGAACTGAGAGCCATTTGTGACAGGTAAGGCTGCAGCTCAGTGGCTGAACTAAGCACGGGCCTGGTTTGACTGACTTTGCTTTCAGCTGGGACCTATTCTGGTGGACCGTAGGGATGAATGCCGATGTAAAAGACTCGAATTAATATCAGAATTACGCAGAGGCAAACAAGAGGGCTTATGTAACCATTCCTTGCTATTTCAGAGAGAACTGCAATGCCCTACTAATTTGGTCACTGAATTCCCCAAACTAAGAGGTAAACATGTACTTTCTACTGCTGAATGAAAATTTAACCGTGGGATGTAATTCAGCATATGGTAAGAGATTATGAAATGTGCATCCAACATTGTTTCCTGATAGAAGGAGAAAACACAGACAGAGGAGACAGAATATTAGAGAAGCCAAAGAGAAGGAAAAGAGAAGAAGGAAGGAAGGAAGGAGAGAAAGAAGCCCGTTGAAATGTTCTTACAAAGGAGCCATGCTTTATATTTACAGGTATTGTGTCTGTCAGCTGTAAGAAATACTGTCTTTAAACATCATAAAGACGGGGCTGGAGGTTTAGCTCAGCGGCATAAGCACCTGCCTTGGAAGCAGGCAGTCATGAGTTCGATCCCCGGTACCGATAAAAAGGAAAAAGACAAAAAAAAAAAAAATCATAAACACAAAATTTATGTAGTAACACAGAAATACATGGAAAATCACGGTCCACACTGGTACCTGTGCATGTTCATGTAACTGCAGCATACTTGACTGGGAAATGGGGGGAAGGTTCATAGAATGTGTTGCTGGGGGAATCGTGGATTATCTTTTCCAAAGTTGCGTTAGTGTTTATAGATTATTTTAACACAAAAGCGTAAAAGGCATATGCTTCCAGATTTGTTTTTTATTAGGCTGTGTTGTAATGAATGTTGAAGTCTGGTCTGGAAACCAAATTTCCTTTGAAAATAAAGGGTCTAATTATTGTTCTAAGCTTTAATCACCAGCTTGTGCAGTCTGGGCAGACAGTCTGGAAAGATCTGACAGAATTATTGAGAGCAGCGGGTCTGTGCTGAGGATGCTGCCGCTGCTGCTCCTCTCGGACCTGAACAGAGAACAAAGTGCGTTTCAGCAGGTCCGCTGGGAGTCCGGCTGCAGGACATGGGACACGCTGTGGGCTGAGATGGAGGAGGCGGAGGCCTGAAATTAAGACATAGAGGAAGCTAGGGAGAGAACAGGAAGCTGGGAAACTGAGGCGGACGCTGTAGCTTGTGTGGCTGGACTGACTGCTGCTGGCACCTTGAGCCTGCCTGTGATGATTGTAGTGTTGGTCCAAGCCTGAGGGACCTGCCCAAACTCTGACCTTTCAGTTTGAGAAAGGACCTATTTGCTACATTTCTAGCCATAATACTGAGGCATATTAAAGGACCCTGGACTGTTCACTGGCACCTTACTACTCACGGTGTGGTCCTTGGAGCATTACCTGGGAGTTTATTGTTGGGAGCTCGACCGAGTGATATGAGGCCTGTGGTGAGGAGTGAAGCCTGAGTTAGATTACCCCTCCCATCGAGTATGCCAAGATGGCGCCCATTTCCTGCTCCCTAGCTAGTAAACAACACGCCCTGTAAGCTAGTCTGCCCAGCAACAGCTGACGCTGGCCAATCAGCTCGTCTTGCCTACTTTGATGTGATTGGTCGATGTGTCCATATATATGCTGACACCACCCCTGGGGCGAGAACACACACCAAGAAGAGGGACTGCTGAGAGAAGCACACAAGGAGCCGTAGGGAACGGACCAGAGGAGGCTTCCCTCAGGCGGGATCCGAGATCCCGGAACAGGGCGTACGGAGAGAGAAAATAAATCAGAGGCTATCCGCCGACTACTCGTGTCGTGTGTTTTCTCCTGCCGGCCGGGATCGACACCGACATTTGGTGGCCCGTACGGGGAACTGATCACCCCCGAGGCGAGGCGGACGACGCTCCAGTATTGCTCTGCAGGACAGGTGAGTAGGGGATAAACCTGGGCTCTGGGTGGCGCGCACCTACAGGGCTTTTTAGACTCCCCTCAAGCTCACGTGTATGTGGCAGGTTAGCCTCACACGGTGAGAACGGACTCCTCAGTGACAGGCATGGGCAACTTACCCACTAAGAGTTCCAAGTCACTGGTAAGAGCGGTGAAAGACCTGCTCAAGATTTCAGGTATATCAATGAGCTCCAAGACACTTACGGAGTTTCTCCAACAAGTAGATGAGGCGGCACCCTGGTTCCTGCCGACGGGGCACTTGTCCCTGCCTTGCTGGGAGAAATTAGGTAAGGATTTAGAAAGAGCAGAAGAGGAGCGCCGACTCCCACTTTCGGTTCGGCCGCTCTGGGAGATGATTCATTCATGCCTCAAAGGGGAGAGGAATGGGGCTAAGGATAGCGCAGATGGGCTCTCTCAGGCCCGCCGAGCTTTTGAAGGGGCCCGTTCGGAGTCCTCCCGAGAGGGGTCCGTCGCAGGGAGCGTGCGGAGGCGCTCGCGAGAGCGAGGCAAGAGAGAGGTACCCCCTGCCTCGGATTCCTCGGGCTCAGATACCTCGGAAGGCGAGGACAATGAGGCAAGTGACCCCCCTAATCCCTTTGCAGCTTTACGTAGAGACCTAGTCAAGATGCAGACAGACCTAGAGAAGGGAAGGAAACTCCTGAGCACTCCCCAACGGAAAGCCGTAGAGCCTTCCGCGCCACCCTGGGAGGTCCCAAACACCGGTTCCTGTGGTGAGATGGCGGCCTGGGGCCATCCTCCGTCACCCCCCCCATGGAGGGAGTGGCCTGGACCGTTGTCACATGTAGGGCCACCATCTTGTCTGCCTGGCGACCCGCCATCTTGTGCCCCAAAGACTGGTCGGCCATGTTACAAAGAGATACAATTTTGTGATAGGGAGGGACAGACATCTCATGGGGAGGCACCACCCTGTGAAAAAATGCCAAGGTCCCAGGGAAGGTATTTTCGTAGATGGACATTTAGAATGGAACAGATTCCTCAAGGGGCGAATGAGTATGAACAATGTGGGCTTTATCCGGTGCTCCTAGCGCAAGGCCAAGGACCCAATTACTGGGAACCACTGGAGATCAAGCAAATTAAGGAGCTTAAAAATGCGGTTGCCACATTTGGCCCTACTGCTCCTTACACTATAACTATGTTGGAGAATTTGTCTGCCGGTGGCTTTCTGACGCCCAGTGATTGGACCCAACTGGCTAAAGCCTGCCTGGCCCCCGGGGCTTTTCTGGATTGGCGCGCCTGGTATACTGAGTTTGCCGCCGAACAGGCTGAAAAAAATGCGGCTAGGGGCCATAGGGGGCAAAATGAGGATATGCTTATGGGTAAGGGTCAGTACGCTCAAGATCAAACTAGATTCCCTCCAAATGTGTATGAACAGATACATAACATAGGCATCCGCGCCTGGAAGCAGGTAAACAACACAGGGGTGGCCTCACAATGCCTCTCTAAAATTGTTCAGGGCAACACAGAACCTTTTGTGGATTTTGTGGCCAGAATGCAGGAGGCAGCTGACAGACTCTTTTCAGATCCGAGTGCTGCTGCTCCTCTTATTAAACAGTTAATCTTCGAACAGTGCACCAAGGACTGCAGGGCAGCCATAGCACCCCATAAAGGTAAAAACATAGAGGCGTGGATTAAAATTTGTAGAGAAATAGGGGGGCCATTATCCAACTCAGGCGTGGCTGCCCTTTTAGCCGCCGCCTTACAACAGACAGGGCCTCAGAAGACCAATCACCCTGGTAAGCCCAGGGGATGTTTCCAGTGTGGGGATCCCAGCCATATAAGGAAAAACTGCCCCAAGACCGGACAGGGGGAGTTTATATCCAAGAGACAGGAATCAGACAGACGAACGGGAACCTGCGAAAGGTGCGGTAAAGGTTCTCACAAAGCAAAAGATTGCAGATCTATTTTTGATGCCCAGGGGAACCGTATTAGTGGCAGGGAGACTACGGAGCCAAAAAACGGCCAGAGGGGGCCCTCCTTACGGACGGGCCCCCACTCCCTAGACAGGACAACACAAGATGGCACCCCCCCACAGGGGCCACCCCCGGGCCAGCAGGCGTGGACCTCTGTGTCGCCTCCAGACTCCTATTAACACCCGATATGGGCGTTCAGGTGGTTGAAACCACCTCCAAAGGACCACTACCCGACAAGCTAGTTGGTTTAGTGATTGGACAGTCCTCCACAGCCCTCCGGGGCCTTACCGTGATCCCTGGAGTTGTAGACCCAGATTATTTAGGAAACATCAAAATCATGGTACAATCTCATATAGGGACCATAGTAATTGATGAAGGGGATAAGATAGCACAACTTTTACTGTTCCCCAGTCTCCATGAGAGACCCCGGTCCGGTCAACGGGTTAGAGGGGGTCAGGGACTTGGCTCCTCTAAGGAAATTTTTGAAGGGCTTCATATGACTCTTGATAAAAGGCCCATGCTATCGCTCAGGATTAACGGAAAAAAGATAACAGGACTCCTAGATACAGGGGCAGACCGTTCCATCGTCTCCAAGAAAGACTGGCCCCCTAGTTGGCCTACCAACACAGCTGACAACACACTCCAAGGATTGGGGATAGTGGCTGCCCCCCAGGTTAGTGCCGTGACCCTGCCTTGGGGTGATGAGGAAGGTCACCGAGGACATTTTCAACCTTTTGTCTTGCAGCTGCCAGTATCCTTGTGGGGAAGAGACGTTCTCACCCAGATGGATGTCACTCTTACATCCACCTGCTCTCCCCAAGCCAAAGGGATACTCAAAAATCAGGGATATGTCCCCGGCAAGGGCCTGGGCGCAGCCCTGCAGGGCCGGACATCCCCCGTACCTGTAGAAAAAAGGGAAGGTAGACACGGGTTGGGTTTTTCCTAGGGGTCACTGAGAAACTTCTCCTGCCCGCTCCAATTAAGATCACCTGGAAATCTCAAAATCCAGTTTGGGTGCCTCAGTGGCCCTTACCCAAGGAGAAGCTTTTAGCATTAACTGAGATAGTCAAAACCCAGTTTCAGGCGGGACACGTAAAGCCGTCAACCTCCCCTTGGAATACCCCTGTCTTTGTTATCAGGAAAAAATCAGGCAAGTGGAGGCTGCTCCATGATCTGAGGGCTGTCAACTCACAGATGCAGCCCCTGGGGGCGATCCAGAGGGGACTACCAGCCCTCTCAGCCATCCCTCGGTCCTGGCCAGTCTATGCCATAGATCTTAGAGACTGTTTTTTCTCAATCCCCCTGCATCCAGAGGACACCCACAGATTCGCCTTTACCCTACCCACCATTAACCAAGAGAGTCCTGATCAGAGATACGAGTGGGTTACATTACCCCAGGGTATGGCCAACAGTCCCACCATGTGTCAGATGTATCTTGATTTTCTACTGGCCCCCTTGCGTGAAGCCTTCCCCAGAATTAGATGTATTCATTACATGGATGATTTGCTAATCAGTGCAAAAGATGTGACTGAGTTGGAGGATATGCTTGGCCAATTGGTCAGGGCCCTGAGAAAGGCAAATTTACATATTGCCCCTGACAAGATTCAGGGAGGAGACATAGTGACCTACCTGGGCACCAAAGTCTCCCCCACATCGATTTCTCCACAAAAGGTAACCATCAGAACAGATAGCCTAAGGACCTTGAATGACATGCAAAAGCTACTGGGAGATATAAACTGGATCAGACCTTATTTACACATCCCTAACTCGGACTTAAAGCCCCTGTTCGACCTCCTGAAAGGAGACCCGGATATTGCCTCCCCCAGGGAGTTCACCCCGGAAGCCAGAGTTGCTCTGAGAAAGATAGAGGAAGCCCTAAGTACAGCTGCATTGCGGAGAATTGACTCAGAACAGCCTTTTGAGGTCTGCTTGTTGCAGACCGTTTCTCAACCTACGGCAGTGATTTGGCAAAAGGGACCACTTTTGTGGGTGCACCCTAAGGTCTCACCTGCCAAGATTATCGAACATTATCCGGAAACGGTCGCTTCCCTGGCCTTGGAGGCACATGGCAGGGCTATCCAACATTTTGGCTCTGCACCCCATGCTATTCGGGTACCTTATACCGCTTCTCAAATAAAAATCCTGACTGCTTGTATAGATACGTGGGCCATCCTGAGATGTGTTTTTCTTGGGGAGATAGACAACCAGTTCCCCAGGGACCCCATACTACAGTTTGTTACTCAACATCCGGTGATATTTCCAAAAATCACCGCGTCCACACCACTTACTCCTGCAACAACGATCTATACGGACGGGTCAAAAACCGGGATAGGGGCTTATGTGGTCTCAGGTATGCCTCCGATCAGCATACAATTTGAACCAGATCAACCACAGGTGGTAGAGTTACAAATTGTACAAACCGTCCTCGAGAAGTTCCCAGGGGCCCTTAATATTGTTTCTGATTCAAAATACGTTGTTAATGCCATGCAGGTCCTTGAGACTGCGGGCCCGATTAAGCCAACCTCCAAAGTGACTAATTTGTTTTTGTCTATCCAGACTCTGCTGATAAATAGACACAACAAAATATACATTACTCACATAAGAGCACATACGCGCCTGCCAGGGCCCATGGTACAGGGCAATGCGGCAGCTGACGTGGCCACTCGCCCGTTGTGGATACTCAATATGTTATCTTCAATAGAACAAGCCCGTCTGTTTCATGACAGATTTCATGTCAACGCCAGGACGTTAGCCAACCAGTACCACATTTCCAGGGCTGACGCGCGGGACATCGTACGGTTATGCGGCTCTTGCGCCACATACACACCCGTCGTATCAACGGGAGTTAACCCCAGGGGATTGATTCCTGGCGACACTTGGCAAATGGATGTCACACATATGATAGAATTCGGATCTCTTAAATATGTTCATGTCTCTACGGACACCTGCTCTCATATTATATTTGCGACTGCTGAAACTGGCGAAAAGGTGTCTCATGTAATCAATCATTGCCTGACAGCTTGGGCCGCATGGGACAAACCAAAAATATTAAAAACTGATAATGGACCAGCTTATACAAGCAGAGCCTTTAATGAGTTCTGTGAAAAAATGGGGGTACAGTTAAAACATGGCATCCCATACAATCCCCAAGGTCAAGGAATTATTGAAAGGGCTCATAGGAGCCTTAAAGATATTCTACAAAAACAAAAAGGGGGAATAAGTCAGGGCCTGCCCCCAAAGGCACGGCTCTCCATGGCACTGTTCACATACAATTTTCTGAACCTGAATAACAACAATCACTCCCCGGCCATGGAACATTGTAATCCATCTCCTGGCAATAGGGGATGGGTGAAATGGAAAGATGTCCTGACGGGACAATGGATGGGCCCGGATCCAGTAGTTAGCTGGAACCGAGGTGCGGTTTGTGTTTTCCCGCAGGAACCAGGACGAGAACCATTGTGGGTCCCAGAACGGCTGACGCGTGTGGCGAATCCAACGAAACATAATGCAGGAGACACTCCAAAACTCAACGGCAGCGGACAGCCTAATCAAGATCGGTCCGACCAGGATATTGCTGCTCGACCGAGGAATACCGTATGACTTATGGGACACAGTAATGATTATGCTCTCGATAGTAATTGGCTCTCTTTTAGGGTACGGTGCAGCCAGAGTGGCTAGGCCACGCCGCCTTCCGGCAGCCCCCTTCCTTCTGGTTTTGATGCTCACCACCACTACTGAAATAGGAGCAGACTTGGTGTGGGCAGCAATACATCATCCGCCAGCGCTAGCCGCTATCTCCACCACAGCCCCCTCTTTCCCAAAGTTGTATGCAAAAAACTGCTCCGCCAGATTGCCTTGCATACCAGATATACCGTTAACCATCAGACCCATACGTTTTGACCTTCCCATCACCAATGACGTGGTCATTTTTTCCACTAATAGTAACCCCTCGTGTCACCGGGGATCCTGCGTTAGCTTCCTGCCCCTCCTTGTAAAATGGTACAATACCTCCCTGACGGTGAGGTTGTCTGTCCCATCCCTGCATTCGCCTGGATGTTTTAAAGCTGGCACACTTAGCGGCGGAGTCATCACTTTTAACTCAACCTGCAAACCCCGAGCAGCCATGCACACCCGTCCCGATTTCCCCACATGCCCATACCGTGTGTCCCCAAGCCGAAAAAGACAGATGGTGGACCTGTCACAACTTTCATGGCAGCCCTGTACTGTCGACGGCGTGGGAGTGACTCATCTAAACATGTCTTGGTGGTCCCGGTTCTCTCCTCCATCCGGTAGTAACAACATATTCGCGTTGACCTGGTGGGAGTCCTACCTGAGAGTGAACAACAAGTGGGCAATAAGCTTCCCCTTCCCCCTTAATGAAAATTGGTTGTGCCTCTCCACCGGAGCCTGCATGGACTTAAGACCCATGCTCGCTATTAACGCTTCTGCCTCTAATGGAACCACCAATGTCACCCTTAATTCTGAGGCTGCATGCGTAAAACCGCCCTACTTATGGGTATTCTCTGCTGACATTTCCTTTAAGTGCAGTAACCAACCATGCTTTACAGGGAACTGCTGGAATGGGTCTTTCCCGTATGCTATGTTGGCTCTTCGACCCCCACTGATGTGGGTTCCCTTTAACGAATCTGTTTGGGTTCATCCCGTCTATCAGCAGGACCAACTACCCATGCTCAGACGTAAGAGAGATTTTGGGATCACAGCGGCCCTGACAGCACTGTTCGTGACTCTGACTGCGACGGCTGTGACGGCTGCCGTTGCTCTGACCCAGTCTACGCTGACGGCCCAGGCCTTTACCAATCTTACGGACACCACCTCCCTGGCGCTGAGGGAGCAACAAGAAGTCAACCTCCTCCAGCACAACGCCATAATGGCGTTACAGCAGCAGATCGACCTAATCGCTCAGGAAGTCCAGGGACTCTGGGAGGTGGCTAACAATTTATGTGACGCCAGATGGGCATTCACCCAGTTGTGCGTTACCCCCATCCAGGTCAACCGTTCGGCTTACAGGCAATTTCAGGATTATGTTCTCACCACCTATAATTCTTCCTTTTGGAACGCTAGCGTGCGCCTGGATATGACTATCCGGCAGCTAGATCAGATAGAGGTGCCTATACTTACAGCCTCCTTTTTTGATGATGTCCTAAGCCAGATAGGCTCCTTCTTCAAGCCTTCGTCACTTCTTGCGTATGGGATCATTCTTGCTCTTGTGATTGTCACTCTCGTGACTCTTAGGTGCCTGCGGTCGATAAGGGCGACCCAAAAGACACATATGACATTGATGATGTTGCTGGCCCAGAGTCAAGGGGATTCCACACCTAGCGTTTTCTGGGCTCAGGCTAGAAAGGCACGGCTCCTTTAACCAGTACGTGGCTGCCCTCGCCATTATTCTTACGGATGTTCTAGTATTATTACGTACGTCTCCTTCCCCGTCGCGGCTGCGAACTTAGACTAGAAGGACCCCACGCTTAAGGCGTGTTCCCATTGATAATTAGAAAATAGTAATTAGTGATTGTAGTGAACGGGGATTATGGTTGGTAATTAGTGATTACGCGGTTCCTCAAATGTCACTCGGCTGACCCCTCCGTGTCTCCCCCAAGATATAAGCTTTAAGAGTTGAGTGGGCAAGCCAACGACGGGTAAGACGGGAGAAGTTCTCCTGATCAACCTAAGACAGGCTCTACTCCGAGGGTCCTCTAGGGAGTGAGAGTTATGGCATTGAGATGCGAGACCAAGGGTACTGCAGTGCCATCCGCCTCGAGGGTCGAGGGGAAGGCAGGAATGAATGTCTATATGCATCCAGGTTCGGTTCATAAAAGCCTGGCCCTGCGAAAAAATGAACCACTCACCTTGAGCATGGTCCTGGCGCAAGGATATGTACGAGACAAGGTGATGCACAGCAGGGTATAGACCTCTACATTCTCTCATGCCTCGGCCTGCGAAATAGGCCCACTCCCAGACACCTCACATGGACCCACAGACCACACTATCTTAATAAATAAAGAAGGGGGAGATGTTGGGAGCTCGACCGAGTGATATGAGGCCTGTGGTGAGGAGTGAAGCCTGAGTTAGATTACCCCTCCCATCGAGTATGCCAAGATGGCGCCCATTTCCTGCTCCCTAGCTAGTAAACAACACGCCCTGTAAGCTAGTCTGCCCAGCAACAGCTGACGCTGGCCAATCAGCTCGTCTTGCCTACTTTGATGTGATTGGTCGATGTGTCCATATATATGCTGACACCACCCCTGGGGCGAGAACACACACCAAGAAGAGGGACTGCTGAGAGAAGCACACAAGGAGCCGTAGGGAACGGACCAGAGGAGGCTTCCCTCAGGCGGGATCCGAGATCCCGGAACAGGGCGTACGGAGAGAGAAAATAAATCAGAGGCTATCCGCCGACTACTCGTGTCGTGTGTTTTCTCCTGCCGGCCGGGATCGACACCGACAGTTTATTAGAAATTCTGGCCCTGGTCCCCACCCCAGAGGCATGGAGTCAGAATTTGCATTTTCACAGCGCTTCTGGTATTTGGCATGCACCATGAGATTCGCTTGTCTACTTAAATCCTGAGACCTTTTAACTCTGTCCTTGTTCAAGACACTTTCTCCTGCATCTAACCCTTGAAGTCTTGAGATAAAAGTACACAGAGGAGGATCCCAAGTGATACAGGCTGGGCAATTTAGTGAGTCCATCTCCCAATTTAACCAGGTAAAATTACAGAGGGGTTGGGGATGTAGCTGAGTGCAAACACTCTGGGTTCAATTCCAGGGCCACAAAAGTAGTTCATAGCAAATAAACCACAAGGCTGGGCTTCATTGTATCTTTGGTCTGTATCAAGTTCAAAAAACCAAGAGTGTCTCCAAAGACTTTTCCTTCCTACCTCCAGGTCAGGGACCAAGCCGTGTGATCTGCTGTTGGGGCAGGATGTGGCAACTCAGACAGTCACACTTGGTAGCCAAAGTGATGGGCAGGAAGCATGTGATGAAGGTCCCTGGTACCCGAGAGGGCCACACAGAAAGCCTGGAATGTAGTTCCCTAATCAGAAAGTCATCTGTTCATGGTTGTGCCCTAATGGATAGAGCAACTTAGTACACAGTGGGGGCTTAAAGAATGAAGATTAAACAATATGGCGATGCCATAATACATCGGAAAACATCCTTATGAATTTAGTATAAGAAGGATTTACAGGCTATAAGCTAGTGACCAAATGCGCATTGGTAGTGGGCTGTAGTTAACCCTTGATTCTGTCAGTCCTAGGCTGTGAGCTTTAATTTGCACATCTATAAAATATAGATGGTACCTCCTAGACTTTGGGATGTGTGGTCAAATGTGTATTTAGAGCTAAGTCTAAAGACATGGAAAGCCCTGGAAAAATTAATCCATGGGATCAATAAATTTTGTCTCCAAGGGACCAGATGGTCAACATCATAGGCTTTGTAGCCCCACTGTTTCCATTGCAAATATCCAGTTCCACCCTTGTACTCCAGAAGCCAAGGACAATATACATTGAATGGGCAAAGCTGTGTTCCAATAAAGTTTTATTGATAAAAGGTGGAGATGGGCCATGCCTGGCCTGTGGTTGTACCTAGATAAACTCTGTTCTAAACTATTGCATGGTATTAGTGATCATTACCTACCAGCGTCTATACGCCGGCATAGATGTCACTTATTTGGCTTAAAGCATTTTCTAATCTCTACAATTCTGAATTTCAGATGGACCAATAGATTAAAAAATGTTGAGCTATGTAACGGGTCACTTTTTTGGGGAGATGCTCAGTACAGGCACTGAAACAGCTTGTTTTCACAAGATGCCCGTGAAGCAGGTGACAGCCCTCTTACTTCTTAGAACAGGGGCCCAGGCTCTGAAAAGGAACCAGTTTGCCCCAGGTCCTAACAGACCTAGGGGCAGCTGATCCTAGGTCAGGACATACTTTATTAAAACTCTAGGCTTTGTGACATGGTTTGGTGATCAAGTGTCACCCAGAAACATGAAAATGTAACAGGGAAAGAAAGGGTATCGCAAATTGCATCCAAACCAAAGAATGTCAGCATCTTGTTCTTCACTGCATTGTTAGGTTGTGAATCCTGACATTTAAAGCCTTATCTGTGTGAGCTGTAGGACTAAGAGGCAGCAGGAAAGGAGGAAGCCCAGGAAATCAACAAGACTGTCTCAGCACAGGGAAACAGTATGTCGGGGTTGAGTTCACCATGTGCCAGCACCAGCTAAACTTTATTGGAACACCAGCAGGAACCTGGGGGTGGGGTTTTGCTGTCATATGCCACAAAGGAAACTCTTGCCTGAATGAAGGCAGACTCACAGCAGCAGAGACTTTCTAAATAGGATAACGCCCAGCTTCTGGAGGCTCCCTAGGTGGGAGGCAGGTTTCAAAGCAAGTCTGGGGCAAAGGGCTGGCAGCAAGGCTTGCGCCAATCACCAATAAGAAGCTTTTATTCTGGGCAACCTGTGGGAGTAGGTGAGACCATTTGAATGAGCACTCCTCAGTAATGAATGGATCTCAGAATTTGGAAACAAATGTTCTGAGGTTTAAAAGTTCAATGAAAGCATAAGAATGTTAATTAAATCATAATAGGAACTTTTTAACGGAGTGGGTGGCATGTTAAGTAGTATACACATTACAATAAGTGTAGAATGCACTAATCCCATTCATGAAGTTCACTAGCTTTACGTATGCCCAATCAATCCCCATGAGTCAGAAGTGGATCAACAATACCCATCCAGTAATGTTCCTCAAAGCAAACTCTTTTAAGCCAAATTAAGCCATTGATCAGTTTTCTGCACAGCATAGTTAAATAATTTCAAACTTAAAAAATCAATTTTACTTTGTTGAAATTATTTTCACCAGGGATAATTGTGCTATAAATAGATGCTATACTGTGTATTTGATTCATTCATTGCCTTTTGCCAAATTAAATTTTACCATTGCCAACTTTTCACTTGTGGGCTCATTTTGTAAGTTTACTCTACCAAAATGAATTTGCAGTTTTAACTTCTTGACAGGAACTTTTTAGTCATGAATCAGTTTTTAGTCAATAATGAAATTTTCTCTGGTTAGTTTCAGCTATTGTCTTTTATTTTATTTTATTTTATTTTGGTACTGAGGATTGAACTCACGACCTCACGCTTGCCAGGCAGGTGTTTATGCTGCTGAGCTAAATCCCCGGTCCTTGTCATTTTATTTTACCTTATTTTTTCTACTGCTTGATTTTTCATGTGATCTTTTTGTGCTTTTCTGTGATCCTAGCAATATTTGATCTTTCAGTCAATTTTCCTTCCATGACAAATTTACTGTGTGCAGTTTTATTCACTGCCAGTTTTTTTAAATCTATGTTATTCCTAGAAACAATATTATGAATTGGATTTAGGATAGTGATATCCTGGAGCAAATATTATCAGTAATGCAGACCCAATTTCTGATTTCAAAGAATGGTCCAAATACCAAGGTCAAAATAGCAGTGTCAAAGCTCGTGCTTTGAACACAAGAGTTAAACATGTACAGGGCTTTAAGGAGTCGGGACTCTAAAGATAGGGGTTCAACCCGGCTCCGCCCTAGTGAAGGCTGTGGTGTGAGCAGCTCCCTTTCCTGCAGCTGACACTTTAAAGTCATCACCTGTGGAGTGCTCCTTCAGCAGGGCCTCTCCTGACTTTCCTGATTAGGAAACGCAGGCTCAGGATACTTGCTCAGGATCAGAGAGCTTACTGTGGCAGATCCTGGATCTGCCTGTAGCTTCCAACTGCTAACATCACATCTGACAGTGTCTAGGCTTACGATTCCTCTGTGCTGACTTGAGGAAATGTCTTGGGTATCTGGTAGCCTCAAGACCATATCTGAGAAAATGTCTCTCTTAATCTTGGCTTGAACCGGACATGCACTTGGAGACACCAGGGGCATGGTGTCTGAGTTTGGTGTCTTGCTAATTATTTTTCACTTGGGCCACCATCAGCCCACCAGGCAAAGGCCCTGGAGCCTCACTTTGTTCCCTCCCCTAATGATTTGAGTCAAGTGCATTTCATTCTTGCGGGGTTCGAGGGAGGGCTGTGCAGCATTTCAGGGTGACACTCATAACACTTCAGAATCAGTAGGTGTTCTATAGGGAAGATTGTAGGTCCTGCATTTACTAGGGTAAAATGCTGAATACAATAGGAGTCCCGATATATCTCAGCAGATGGGGAGCATGAGAGGACAGGCCCTTTAAATAAAAAAGCTGGCGCTCCCCGCGTGTATGGATCTGACCATGTCCCCCACAGCCATGTGGCCCGTTTTCTGCTTCCAGCTCGTTCTACCCGACCACTCCACCTTTTATAGAACCTGAACTTTACTGGGGCTGCGGGGGGCAATGGAATAGCCAAATGCTTGCCGCTTGAGCCTCCTTGCCAGTTAGGGTTGGCAGTGTAACAAGGACCTGGCCTACTGCTTCTGGTGCTTTCTGGTGGACACACAAGGCCCGCCGCCTCGTCTTCCCTCCCTCTCCATGGCAGGTAGACAAGCAGCAGCAATCTTGCAACCGTGAAGGGACAAATGTGAAGACGAAGGCTACGAAATGAAGGGTGGATACACAAGAGGGGATCCCCTGACTTTCTTCTGGCACTGCTGAGCTGCTGAACCAACCCCAGGGATAACCTATTGGAGACTTCCTGTTAAGCAAAAAATCAGCCTCTACCTACATAAATTCTTCTGAATCATCCACGCAGTTACTTGCAGACAAATGCATCCCTCACCGGTCCACGTTCAGTGTTCACTGAATACAAGAGTACACTTTCTTTCCACCATCTTACACGTTACAAAGACACCACCTCCGAAAAGCAGGTCATAGATTCTCCACAAAGATACACTTAGAGCGAGAGGACCCGCAGAACCTCAGCAGCACACAGCGCCTCATTCTCAAAAAGAGATCCGCACTTCCTGACTCTCTCTTGTTAAATTCATACCACTTACATAAATTTCCCTCCACCCATAATGCAATGGTTGGCTCCAATCTTTCATTTATGTAATCCTTAAAACCAGAGACAAACTGTTTTGGGGGCAATGAGAATAATGCTACCTGTGACACCTGAATTTAGATCTGAAATTGATTTTTGTCACTTTAAGCTTTTAGGGGAGCCTCTTCTGGAAGTCAGCACAGCCACAACGTGTAATAAAAAATTATGATGAGTCCACAGCAGCATGCAAAACTCACTGTAAATTTCTAGTCCCTAAAGAGCGAGAGTTGGGAAAGCATTATTGATGAGATGGTGAGATTCACCTGGAACCATCTTTCTTGATGATTTAATATCGACAACTCAACTTCATAAAACATAACTTGGGATAGGCAGAGGACTGTTTTAATAGCTGATGCTCTTCATTATATTTCTCTCCCTGATCAGATGATGAATGCCAGTCATGTTAA